CACGAACCCGAATCCAGAACCCAATGCTACACAAAGGTTTGCGAGTGAGATAGAGATCTTTGCTCGGTGGTAGTTTAAATGCAGCCGCTATTGAGGTCATGTTGCGCTGTTGGTGCTTAGAAAAAAAGCCTTCTGCAATTGAGGATTCTGAACTGATGCCCACATCTTGCTTCCAGTTAGAGATTTCGCTTTGATAACAGCTCGAGAGTGTACTCTGCACAGGAAGCAAATGCAACGTGACATGCAATTGTCGGGGACGGCTGCTTTCTAGGACGCATTAACACACAATTTCTTGAAGCCGTATGGACGTCCGTAAGGCTTACGGCGTAAGCACAAAACAAAACGTGTCCTACAGTGTGCGCAGTATGGTTTCCGCAGATGTGAAGCGTAAGTGCCTTTAATCAGTTTGACCACAGGCGCTTTACTGACAGTGAGTCTGATAAGAGAAGCCTGCCTGTCCCGTCACAAAGCTCTCAAAGCAGTGAGTCATAGCTCTTTAACTGGTCGCGCATCTACAGTGGTTTCGCATGGATTCTGTTTCTCGACGAACAATGTACGACCTCCACCTTGTACATGTCCGGTTACTGGATGGATGTTTACTGTATCGGTATGGTTCAGACGGCACCAAATCTGGAGCGATGCATGGATTAATAGTCTCTTCCATGTATTCTAGCGAAAGCACAATTTATGTTGCGTCTCCAATGGAGATCGTCCATTAGCTAGTCCCATCTCGAGAGCAACCATACAGTTTCCTATCGCACGTGGCTCCTTAAAGTACCAGTTTAGAAAAGTGTCGCTGTCGCAGCGTTGACGAGTGCGACCGTAATACGCACACGCTGATTAACGCTTAACGCATCGTAGACATAGCATTCCCGGTGAGTGGGTGTGTTACGCTCACTTTGTGTTTTCCTCCGCAGAGAGCAACTTAACTGTACCAACAATGCGCATCTTTGCTCTTCCACTTGTGGTGCTCGCTACCCTCGTGTCGAGCTCTGTCGGCTACGCCTGCTTCGGACCCGATACTCGTGCCGAACCTCCCGCTGGAGCCATTGTCGTCGATGCCACTGGAGCATACAGCGGCAGCTTCCGCAACATCTCGGAAGCTATCGCACACGTCCCCAACACGACGGAGCAGCACACCGTATTCCTATACCCTGGCGTCTACCATGAGCAAGTGCTCGTCTCGAAGCTGAAAGGGCCACTGGTGCTGCAGGGTTACACGTGCAACGCAACGTCGTACAAGTATAATGAAGTGACTATCACCCACGCCAAAGCCCAGAGAGATATCCCTCCCGAGATCACCAGTGGCCGCAACGACTTGACCAGTACTCTACGTCTCAAGACGAACAACGTGCGAGTGTACAACCTCAACGTTGCCAACACGGCTGGCAAGATCGAGAAGGACGGCCAGGCTGTGGCCACTATCATCGAAGGCAACAACTACGGCTTCTACGCTTGCAACTTCACCGGATACCAGGACACTGTTTACGCCAATAAGGGCCGTGAACTGTTCGCCAAGTCGTACATCGCAGGCGCAGTCGACTTCATCTTTGGTTCCAAGGCCGAGGCGTGGTTTGAGTCTTGCGATATCGAGACTGTGGGTGAAGGTGCTATCACTGCCAATGGACGTGTGAACGAGTCGAGTCCGTCCTTCTACGTCTTCAACAACGCTCGGGTGTTCGGATCCAGTGGCAACGGATCGGCCTACCTGGGTCGCCCGTGGCGCCCTTACTCGCGCGTTGTCTGGCAGAATAGTGAGCTCGGCGACGTCATCCACCCGGAGGGCTGGCAGCAGTGGAACAACGACAACAACACCGCCAACGTGTACTACAAGGAGTTCAACAACCGCGGACCCGGTGCTGCTACCGACAAGCGTGTGTCCTTTAGTGGACAGCTCACTGCTCCTGTTGATATTACAGAAATTTTGGGCGGAAACTACTCGACCGAGTGGTTTGTTGATCACACTTACCTTGAATAAGGTGCTGTAGATACATGGGGAGCGTACCCTAGATAGATAATTGAGTCTGCAAACAAAATAAACGGAATGCTGCATGTTAATCAACTTCGTTGGTTTTCTCATCGTACTTAGATACTTCAACGTATTATAAATAAAAATAGTTGAAGCATGCTGCAATAAAACCAAACGGTTCAAAGATTTTAACTCTTTAACATGTAAATAGTGATAACACTGCGTGTAAGAAAGTAGTTGTAGTAAGAAAGTGCCCACGCTTTTCATTACTTGCATCAACACCTGGCGGATCCCCGTTGGCAGTGATCCTTCTTTCAAGAACCTGAAAAGACATCGGTACGAAAAACAAGATATTTATTGATACTCGATAGGTGGGATCGACTGGGACAACGCTTTTGTTTTGGCGAAAGGATCCTCAAGAATCTGAAATCTAATCAACAAAATGGAAGTTGTTGACACTTTTATAAAAAGGATGCATAATTAACATATTTAGCCCTTAAACGGCAGAACGTAGACAGTCAAGAGTTATATGAACTCTCTGTCGAGTGAATATTCACGAGGCATAGCGGAATTCAGACTTCAGACTAATTTGCTTCTTATCTTACCTCTCTACGTGGATCTTAAA